CTTGCTAAGGTAAAAGAAAATGAAACTAATGGAGTGTCTGAAAATTAGACATTTTGTCATGCTTGCTTTAGATGCATGGAGACAGAAAAACCAGCTAGTGGTACCTACCATAGAAATGTTAAGATTGTTATTTCTAGTTGGCTTATTTTCTTTGGAAGTGTTTCTCTTGATGAATGTTTTTATTTTTAATGTCTTGTTCCCTTTTCAGCCTACAAGTGCAACACTTAAAGACAAAGTAAAGAAGACAAGAATTTCATCTAATTCTTGCAGTGTGATAAAACGTCTTAAAGTAGAGAAGAAAGAAAATGATCAGAATTTTTCAGAGAAACCGGCATCTTCAACAGTAGAAAACAGCTTGGAATCTCAAAGTTCTAAACCCAAAGGCAGTGAATCTGAAGAAAATGCACAATTGAAAAACACAGTCAAGAATGTCAGTGCATGTAAATCTGAGCCCGTTGATTCTGTGATTGAGAAACCTAAACAAGGATTAAATGAAGAAAAAGCACTATTGGTGAAGCAGGTTCGTGACAAAGAAGAGCTGCTTCGGAGGCTAAAACTAGTCAAAATGTATAGATCAAAGGTGAGATTTTAAGAACCATTGCATAATCATAAGTTTTTGCATAAATTGTGTAAAAGTAATTTCAAAAATAGGAAGCAAATTTATTTTAGCATAATAAATAACAAAAATGTCATCAGTTTAGGGTTGAGTAAGAGAGACCAATACCAATGAAACTTTTAAAGAAAATGTCCCAGTTTTCATTTGGTAACGCAGTAGGAGATTTTCTCTAGTTTACAACCCACAGCAATATTAGATGTATCAAATGTTAGATGAAAGTATAATGGGAACAGAAGTGACTACTGACAGTGAATAAAATCAAAAGTGTTCACAGTATAATAAAAAATATTTTTAGTAATGATACTGTGTTTCTTCCAAGGAATTAAAATGTCTTAGGCAGTTTGAAAACAACAAAAAATATATATTAGATTTTAGGTTTTAACTCAGATAGGTTGAATTGTATAGAACCCTGGTTCTTAGAAGGAAGAAGCCTCTATTACTTGGATAATTTCTGAATATGTAATAATTCATGTTTCCTCAACAATGTGGAATAAATGATGGAATAACATATCATTTGCTCTTTTTGAAGTTTTAGGAGTTTCCTAAACATGACATTTATGAAATATCAAATTGAAAAAACTTTATATATTGTCGTTTTTTGAACTTTTGGGCTCGCAGCAAAATTAGGTGGAAGGTACAGCATCATAAGGACATAGTTTAAAAGTATAACTACTATAAAAAGTGGACTATTTTTAAGTGTGTTATCATTTCTCTATATAGTTTAATGATCCGGTTTTTCCCAGAGGGTAAGGTTGGCCCAGATCCTGAATAGCCGTAGAACTCAAGGGAGTGACACTGTAACCATTGTGCTTACAACCATTCTACCATTTGCTAGGTAAATGTCTTATTCATCCCCAGGATGATGATTGCCTTTAACTTAGATGTACATTACATTTAACAGCTTTGATTAAGTAAGTTAAAATAGCATGATCATCTGATTATTGACTTAACATTCATTGATTTGTTTTGTTTTCTGTTTCAGAATAACCTGTCTCAGTTAGAGATATTAATATCAAAGTGGAGAAACTGTAGCCAGCTGTTGCTTTATGAGCTGCAGTCACTCATGTCGGAAGAGAAGAAAATAACCCTTACTCAATTGATAGACCTCTATGGGTTGGATGATACACTGCTGCATTTTAATAGAAGTGAAGAAGAATTTGCAGGTGTTTAATTCATAATTTTTTTTTGAGAAATATCTTTGAAAATGATACTTGCACATTTTAAAGGGGAGATTTGCACATTAGGGCTTAGAGGAAGGTATCTTGATGACTATCAGTTTAGGACAATCTATAATTTTTTTTTTTTTTTTTCGTTGTAGATGGTCACAATACCTTTACTTATTTTTATGTGGTGCTGAGGATTGAACCCAGTGCCTCACACGTGCAAGGCATGCGTTCTACCGCTGAGCCACAAACCCAGCCCTGTGAAATGTATAAATTTTTTTTATTATTTATTTTTTAGTTGTAGTTGGATACAATAACTTTATTTCACTTATTTATTTTTATGTGGTGCTGAGAATGGAACCCAGGATCCCGCACGTGCGAGGCGAGCACTCTACTGCTGAGCCACAACCCCAGCCCAAATGTATAAATTTTAAGTTCGAAAATTCAATGTTTAGGGTAGATTTGGTAAAGAAAACTTGACATTCAAAAAAAATCATATTTAAAAAGGAATTTGGATAGTTTTGGCAACTAGTTTTAATAAATCATTTTGCTTTTAGTAGCAAAAAGTTTTATTTTCAATGTTTAAAAATAGTTCATTCTAGATGGGAACCCCAGAGGAGTTGTATTATTGTACTGCTAACCAGCCTGCCTCCGTCAATCATTACTGCTTTGTAGGGTGGAGCGGTGGGAGGAGGGTCTGAGTGGGGGCGGGGCGGGTGGCAGGCAGGCAGGGAGTGGTGGTGATGGTGGCTAAATGTGTTAGGGGAATCATGCTCCTGGTGCAGTGTTGGATTGTTTTTGTTTTTTAATTTGTTCTTTTTAGATATACATGACAGTAGAGTGTACTATTTTGACATTATACATACATGGAGTATAACATTTTAATTAGATGCCATTCTTGTGGTTGAACATGATGTGGAGTTAAATTGGTTGTGTGGTCATATGTGAACATAAGAAAATTATCTAATTCACTCTACATATTGGTAGTTAAAAAGTCCCTCTTCTAAGTTTATGAATCTTTGTTTCCATTCATTTTCCACATCTTTTCATCTGCTGCTCTAATAGGGTTATTAAACATATGTCCAAAATTATATTGTTTTTGTCTTTGAAATTTCTCATATTCCTCCTTTAGTGAAATGACTGTTTCTTAGGAAACTATATCAAGGTATCCTGGCATATGAGGTCCTTCATATTCATCTACCTTCTAGTTTCATCTGTGAAATGAACTGAGAGTGTCCATTCAGTTCACAGTGCCTTAGCCAGAAACCCATCTTCACAGGGATGGATTTGTGCTGCCAAGTTTCACAACTGTACCTTTTCATCCTGGCTGTATGTGGAGATATGACCCAAGCTGGCCCAGTCACAGAATTTAAAATTGAGCTCAGGGAAAGAAACCTCACCTATTTGTGGCTGGAGCTATTATATATAAACTTGGAAGCTGCAGAGCTGACATTCTTGAAGGGTGGTGTGTGCTTACCGAAGGATAGAGATAGAGAGATCTTTGTGAATTAGTTTCTTGGTTCTAATTGCCAGTTATTCTGACAGGTTTTTTGAATTTCTGCCTTTAGGGGCTAACAGCTTTATTTACTTGAAAAAAAGTATTTGGCTGCTAGTTGGTAAACAGTAGCCCTCCCCCAAATGTTCCTCACTTTGAACCTAGGTCCCTCTGTCTTGATCTACAAATCTTTTAATGTTTGGCACAGCAGGGGAACTAGGGCCCTACTCTTGCATCCATTTCAATACCATCCCCCATCACCACTACACACAAATTCCTGCTTGATACTGACATTGCCATTGGCATTTGTAAATCCTAGAGGACTGGCCCCAGCCTCACATGAGCCTCTCCTGGGATTTCTAGTTGGACACTCCTGGGGAGCTGTACTATTCTAGTGGCTACTAGCCAGCTTCTATCACTGCTTCTCATTCAGCCTAAATGTGGCAGAGGAATCATGTTGTTGCTGGTGGTAGTGTTGATTAGCTCTTGGAGGCTGTAGCTTCCATTTTCTGGAGTCACCATTATGTGTCTGCTGGTGGGAATTATAGCATGAACGGGACTCTGGTTCTGGGAGAGCTGAGGAAATGATAATGGAATTTAAGGCATTTGCACCTAGCCCTAGCTGAGGACCCCAACAGCACAATGGGCACTTGAGAAATAGGAGGTAGATTATGGTGGATGAATGGGGCTTATGGAATATAGTTTGAGGTCTGAGGATGCTCTTGGGTAGTCTTACTTTTTATCGTTTTGGTGAATTTTACCTCCATTTATTGAAAACCACTGAATACCACATTTTTATAAATTAAAGAGGGCTAAACCCTTGCTTTGTGCCAAATTTAAAGAGTCACCAAAATGATGATGGTTCAGTCATTTACTTCACCATCACTATCCAGCACTAATCACTATGTGGGTGATCAATTGAACCTTAGTTGTTTTCTAAATGGATTTTTTTTCCTTGTTATTTCAGTGCTGGGGATTGAACCCAGGGACATTCTACCACTGAACTACATCCCCAGACCTTTTAATTTTTTTTTATTTTGAGACGGGGTCTTGCTAAGTTGCCTTAGCCTCTCAAGTTGCTAGGATTAGAGGTGGTAACCAATACACCCAACCTAAATGGAAGGTTTTATATAATAGCTCTCTGGAAGTGGTAGTGTGGATTAAACTTAACCTTTAGTTTATAAATTGCAGAACAATGAAGCAGTGATATCACTTGGAGAATGTGGTCGGTGATCCCAATGGTATCACCTTGTAATGCAGCAGTTTACTGGCTGTGGAAGGGTGAAAAAGTTTTCTGCCAGTTAGTGTTTTCATATCATCTACATGAGTAAAATGATAAAAATTATTTAATGGAAATGAGAACATTTTTTCTTTGTTTACTAAATGCTTATTGGATAGAGCACAAATTAGAGCTCTGTTTGAAAATTATATTCTCAAAATATGTCATAATTTACAAATGAGTTAAAGCTTGGAAAAAGTCAACAGTTTTATCTTTATTAATAGAATGGGGAAAAATTCCACATTTTTAGTAATTTTAAATAAAATTAAAATAAATCTCGAATACTTTATGGTTTAAAAAATCTTGTTTTTGAATAAAAACAATTTCCAGTATTTTACACATTTATTCATGCAAGACAAAAATTTATATGCTAATTAAGGCTAAAATCAAACAATTTGCTATTGAAAACCTGCAACTAAGAAGTGACTAATTTAAGTTTCCCAATATGAAAGAAAAAGAAATCATTTTACCCAAATGAATTGATTTTTGCAATAATTAGTTTGGCTTTGTTTTTCTTGCTAGCCTTTTACATTTGAACAAGAGCAGGAAATGTTTTCATCCTTAATCTTTCAACTTCTGCTTGTAGTATTGAAATCTGTTCAGCCTGTTGTTTTGAAATATTTGTCAGCTTCTGTTGTTGCACCATGTTTTTATATCGTTCTTTGACAATCTTTTCACAAGTCAGTTGCGTCCCTATCCCAAAAGTGAAGAAGGAAGGAATAAGTTGGATTATTATTAATGCTTTAGGGTATAGGAACAGCACTCAAGTCAGTTGTATGGAAGACACACTGGTAGCTTTATAACTAAAGTTTTCAGGAGTATAGACTTTAAAGAAAATCTATTGTTGATTAAAGGGAAAAAGCTTACCCATTGCATTGCAGATGTCTTTTCTCTCGGACACAGCTACCAACTCTTCTCGTAGATTGCAGCTTAGAGTGTAATTTGCTATATCTTTTTGATTACTGAATTTTTCCAATTTTTTGAGTAGTTTTTTGCAGTTTTCGACATTCTTTTTGTGGGTCTGAAAGTTTTATTCCCATGAAGACCCACAAAATAATTTTGAAAAAAAAATGTAATTTATATATAAAAAAAGTTATCATCACTAAGATAACATCTTACACCATATCCCCAGTGCCCGGTGTACTGTCTGTCCCTAGTAGTCACTCAAATTATTTGTTTAAAGATAGAATGATATGTTAATACTACAATTTACAAAACTTTTTGTATGTTCTTAAAAATGAGATAATATTTGAGATTACTTTGTTTTCATATTACACGTACTACATAATCAAAATTAAGCATTTTTTTTCAGTTAAGACAAAGCTTTTACAATGCCAAGGAAAATTACCAACACTTATTGTAAAATTATAACCTAACCTAACTGCTCAGATATGTCCCCAGAGGTTAATTTTAATCTTTAAAAATGTGCTTCGGGGCTGGGGTTGTGGCTCAGTGGTGGCGTGCTTGAGGCCCTGGTTTCAATCCTCAGCACCACATAAAGATAAATAAATTAAATAAAGGTATTTATTTAATTGTCCATCTACATATAAAAATATATGCTTTAGTCTATGCCACTGGTTATGGTTGCAAAGACACTATTATTCAGAGACCTGTAATTACTTTGAAAACTGGGAAATAAGCAAGGTTTTGTTAGGTTCTGTCGGAAACACTGATTGCTTTGCTCAAAGAATCCACAACTCTTGGGATTACAGTGATCAATATCATTGAGACTTACCTTATCTATAACTTGAATGGTTTGCTCCATTATTCCAATCTGAATAGCAATCAGAGTCTCGTAGTTCGATTCATTTAGGTACTTCAAGAGGAAAAAAACCCACAAATAAGGATATTTTTTCTCTTTCTTTGAATGGATAAATACATAAAGATTTTTTGTTTTCCTTACAATACTAGAGAGTGAACCTAGAGGCCCTCTACCAATGAGCCACACTCCCAGGTCCTTTTATTTTATTTTGGGACAGTGTCTTTGCTACGTTGCTGAGGCTAGATCTTCTTGCCTCCTATATAGGAGTGTACCACTATTTCAGACCTTATAAAGATTTTTTTTTTTTTTTTAGTTCTGAAAATTATTGTTTTGCATAGCAAATATTGAGTTGATTGAGTCTATTTTCTTTCAGCTCATCAAACAAGTTACCCACATTAACAGTGTTCCGGTTAAAGATACTGAGGGAAATAAAAAAAAGATATGTAGCATGACTTACTCTTCAAAAAAATGAGAAGATAGAGATTTATGCAAATTCACAGCATTTTTCCACACTTGGGAAATCAAGAGAGGCTTTACAAGGAAGTGATGTTTAAACAAAACATGGAAAAAAGTGGTAGGTTTGGGATGATAAAATTTAAAAAAAGAATGTTTTTCCAGATAGAATTGGTATGAGCAAAGACACAGAGGTAGAAGCCTAAAAAAAATTGGTACTCCATTTGGTTTGAGAGTACTAATAGTAGGAAATGAGATTAATACCCAGAACTATGGGGAAAAAATCTGATAGTGGTATACCAGTGAAAACCAATGAAAGTAGAGGAGCTGTCAGTGGGGAATAAAACAGAATTTGAGGGAAGTTACGGATGGAGGGTTAGATTGGAATCCAGAGAGCTTAGATTCAACTTTAGATGTGATCACTGTTAGAAATATAGAGGTGGATCCTCAAAGGAGAGGACATGGGGGGAAATAGTGCTAAGGCTGATTTTTTTTTTTTTCCTTCTCCTTTCTCTTTCTTTGTGGCATTGGGGATTGAACCCAGGAACCCAGGGGTGCTATGCCACTGAGTTACATCTCCAGGTCCTTTTTATTTTTGAGATAGGATCTTGCTGAGTTTGTCATGCTGGCCTCCAACTTGGGGTTGGGGTCCTCTTGCCCCAGCTCTTCAAATTCAGGCATGTTTTACTATGCCCAGACTAAGGCACACTCTTAAAGAATGACATTAGAGGAAAGAGAGGAGAAAATGGGGGTCATACAAGACAAAGGAATGAGTAATTAAGGTGGTCAAATGCTACAAAGAATTGAAGGCTGATAGAGACTGGGAAAAGAAGCCCTGGATTTAACAAATAGGAAATCTTTAGTGAACTATAAGAGAACTGTGCTACTGAATGGGTCATGAAGATGTGTAGGCAACAGACATAACTACTGGAAGAAAAATAACTCATTCACATATTCACCTAGGAAAGACTTCTGGCTCAGAATATACTTGACATCATGGAGGCTTCTTATTAAATGCCAGTTAAATGAACAAATGTATTAATGGATAAAATTAAAACTGTGTAGAGGGCAGGGAGAACTTGCCTTTTGACGCTGTCTTGAAAGAAACAGCATCTGAATATCCCAGGCCTTCTGATTTAGGTCTTCCATTTTCATCTCCATTTTCTTATGTTCCCACTCAATTTGATATATTCCTTTGTGTACCTCTTTACTTTCCATCATGCTAGCAACTTTCTTTTGACCTTGAGTCTTAAAAAAAAAGTATTTGATATTCATATAACATGGTTCTGCATGCGAAATTATAGAAGATTTGAAGTTGAATGTTATTCTCAGAAAATACTTGAATCACAGAGATAATTCTCTTAATGTGGTGCTGAAGATTGAACCTAGGTGGCACGCTCATTTTGATCCTCAACACCACATAAAAATAAAGATAAAAAATTTATTTGTCGTGGAAATGAGGGAATAATGTAAAGTATAACTACCCGAATTACAGAATTCAAGTCTTCAATTATGGTCTTATTCATGAGAATTGCATCAGAATACTCCAGGATTAGTTGGAAATTCTCTAGTTCTACTTGTCCTTGTTTAAGAAGAATTTGGATGGTCAAATTCAACTGGAATTTCACTTTCTCGTTCTGTAATCTAAATGGAAATAGGCTTTAAATAAGTAGGTATAGTACATTTACATATCAAATTTAATATAAAATTCAGATCAGCTAAAAGAGAACATCCTGGAGATTAGTGTGAAGAATATTTTCCCAAATGATTAGCTTTCCTGGACACCCCAGTGATACTCCATCCTACTGATTTGCAATATAATTGAATTGTTCAGAGAATACTATGGACAGAAATACATCCACAAATTTTTACTTTAGGATTAAGAAAAGATGGTAGGATTTTGATTGTAATAAAAATAAAGGTAAAGCCAGGCATAGTGGTGCATATCTGTAATCCCAGTGATGGGGGAGCCTGAAGCAGGAAGATTGCAAGTTCAAGGCCAACCTCAGCAACTTAGCAAGATCCTGTCTCAGAATAAAAAATAAAAAGGACTAGGGATGGAACTTAGTGATAAAGAGCCTTGGGGTTCATTCCTAGTGCAATACATAAATAATAAAAATGAAAATATAGAGATGCTGCCAAGTGTTTAGAGTCCATTAAAGTTGACTTTGTTGATTTCTGATACTGTACTAACAATATTTAATCCATGTGCTACTTATCAAATCTAATTGTGCAAAATTCATATTTCTCCCGGTAGTCTAGAAGTCTAGATCTAAAAATGGTGAATGATGATGAATTTGGGAATATCAGAGATGAAATTTATCCATGAAGTCATCAATATGGCCTTTTTTTTTTTCTTAAGTTACAGATGGACATAATGTCTTTGTTTTACTTTACGTGGTGCTGAGGATCCAACCCCGTAACCCAGTGTCTCACGCATGCTAGGCGAGCGCTCTACCTCTGAGCCACAAGCCCAGCTCTCAGTGTGACCTTTTGAAGCAGGGACTTAAGAGTATGCAAATCACTCAGTAAAAAACAACACTGTCCCTGAAAAACATGGAGCTGGGAGGTGTCTGTGTGGTCACTGCTTGGACATGTGCTTAATGTTCCACATAGTTTATATGTCTTAATCCCCCACACACTCAACTGGTAGAGACAGGTTGTATTTTATGTGGAAAGGGCAGATTTAAGAAAAACCAAGATTTTTCTAAAATTTGCTTCTTTATATTAAAAGCAATGGAACAATGTGGCATGTTTTATACTAAAACAAGTCTTATGTGACAAAATGTGCTCTTTTCACTTAGGCAATAGAGCAGAGACCCTGCGCCTATTGGAAGGAAAAGTAGGCACAGATCTCTACCATATCGGCTTAGGAACTGAATACCTTGGCAAGACTCACAGAGTAAAAGAAATAAGATCAAAAATCAATAAATGGGATGGACTCAAACTTTAAAAAGCTTCTTCACAGCAAAGGAAACAATGTGAAGAGAGAGCCTACAGAATGGGAAAAATTTATCACATTCAACTCAGCATTAATCTCCAGGATACATAAAGAACTCAAAAAACCCCAAATAACCCTATCAATAAATGGGCTAAGGAACTGAACAGACACTTCACAGAAGAAGAAATACAATCAATCAACAAATATATGGAAAAAATATTCTAACATCCTAGCAATTAGAGAAAAGCAAAACTACACTGAGATTACATCTCTTCTAGTAAGAATGGCAATCATCAAGAATACAAGCAACAATAAATGTTGTCTAGGTACACTCAAATATTGCTGGTGGGACTGCAAATGGGTGCAACTACTATAGAAAGCAGTATGGCCATATCTCAGAAAACTTGGAATGGAACCACCATTTGACCCAGTTACCCCACTCCTAGGTTTATACCCAAAAGACTTAAAATCAGCAGCCTACTACAGCGACGCAGCCACATCAGTGTTTGTAGCAGCTAAACTATGGAATCAACCTTTAAACAGATAAAGAAATTGGTATATATACACAGTGGAATATTCCTTAGTCTTAAAGAAGAATGAAATTATGGCATTTGCCAATAAATGGATGCAACTGGAGAATATTCTGCCAAGTAAAATAAGCCGATCCCAAAGAACCAAAGGCTGATACTAATTCACAACAAGGGGGTGGTGGGGGAGAATAGTGGTATTCAGGAGTGAAGGGAGGGGAGGGGGCGTGGGGTTGGAATGATAGTAGAAAGAATCTGACATTATTACCCTATGTGCATAAATGATTTACGTGACTTGTGTAACTATCATGTATAACCAGACAAATGAGAAGTTATACTCATATGTGTTTGATGTGCTAAAATGCATTCTCATGTATTCTCATGTATAAGTAATTAGAGTAAATTTACAAAATGTGCTCTTTAGTATAGAAATTTTCAACCCAATGCTAGGATTGAAAGGGATTCAGAGGGATGGATTTGCACAGATGTGAACAGCCAGTAGGCATTTTCCCCATGGGCACTGCCACCTGAGACAGCTCAAGACTGGATAGGTAAACCTGAATGAGAGGTTTGCATTACAGGAGGAGTTCATGGAACACTTTTTCAATCTCGCGCTGCACATGTTCATCATCCTCAACTCTCTTCTGGAGGAAAGCCATCATTTCAACTAAGCCAGCTGCCTTCTGCTTCACCTGAAGAAACCCAACAGCAGAAACTTTGAATTCAGAAAACATACATCTTTAATTTTGTTTTAAAAAACCACCAAATCTTAAGCCCATCTTTCTAAGATTAAAAAGAATTAAAATTCCTGCCATTATGTAATAAAAGGTGTGTAAAACTTGGCGGGGCACATTCCATGAAAATTTTAAAGTGTATATAATTGGCTTCTTGCTGAAAAGTATGCAAGCAACTAGAATTTTCTTATATCTTTTTGACATTTGTTCCCTTAGGTAAAATTGTCAGATCATAGATACTTCAACAAAAATAAGCCAGCCTGATTATGTGGCACTAAGGTAGGAATCTGGGGAGGGGAGGAGGAAGCCCCTTGAGCATCAGCAAGAGAAAGGATTCTTTCCCCAGATTCATACTCTCAAAATTTCTGCCCTTTGCTACATCTTTTCTATTCCAGAAAAACTAATTTCCGCCCTCTGCTACATCTTTTCTAGAAAAACTATAAAGTTGGTCTAGTGAGCTTAATATAACTAGTCTGCAAAACAGGGTCATTTGTAACAGTGTTGTCCAACAGAAATGAAATGTGAGCCATAGCCATTTAATTAAAAGTAAAATGAAACAGATGAACTTAAATCTGTATGAAAAACATTAATGAGATATTTCTCCTCCCCCCCCCTCCATAAACTAAATCTTATAAATGTGTGTATTTTCCACCTTCAGCACATCTCAATTAGGACTGGCCACATTTATTTCAAGTGCACAATAACCGCACATCACTAGTGGCCCAGTTTTGGATAGTGTAGATCTATAAACAGACCTGCTTGAGGCCCTTGATAGCATCAAAGTTAATATTTTACTTCGTAATTTTATTGTTAATATCTAAATCGTTAGCTTTTCTGTATGCATTGGTCAATGATACTATATAGTTGATATTAGTATATTGAGAATAAAATGAAATAAAAAATGATATTACAGACTTTGTGTTCATTTTCAAGTTTTGCTCGTCTGGTTGCACAGAAATGATCCCAAACTGAAGGGTCTAAGCCTTCTGGCATGTTGTTAATATTATCCAACTCATCCATGGCTTTCATTAAGTGGGCAAAAGTGTCCTTATTCAACTTGCCAGATCCCGGTCGTTCTCCAAATGGGGTACTACTGGCTGCCTCTGAGTGCGCTTTCTGTTTGTGAATCCTGGTATTAGCAAGAAAAGCCTGTCAACCTTTCACATTCTCTCGAGACACAACAACAAAATCATTATAAAATAATAAGATTGTCAGCCTAGGCTCATAGGACATACTGCATGGCAATTTTCTTAGGCACTGGAGAACTGGTGGGCACATTAGTCCAAAGAGAGAAGCACCCACTTTGTCCTTCCAAACTCTGGGTCCCCAGATGTGACCCTAGACTGGACTACAGATGACTAACTGTTGTCAGTTCTGGCAGCATTACTTTTGCGGGGAAACTTTCAGGCAAAGCAATGCCCATGGGAGTGTGGGTGGTCCTTGGGTCTGTATGGCAGGTCCTCTGCTGGTATCCTTTTTTGCAGTAGACAATGCTTAGATCTGTGTGAACTGGGGAAGTGTCTCTTCTGATCCACGTAAACAGATTAGCTTTGTTTCCCTGTATTGCAGCAGGCACCCTTGTAATCCACAGTGAGACTGGTGTTGCTGTCCCAACTCTTAGATAGGAAAGTTCAGTCCTGGGAGAAGCTGATGGCCAACAGCTAGCTTCAGGTCTGATAGATGGGTGACTTAGGGACTTAAGGAAAGGGTATGTACTTGGGCTTGTGATAACATACCTTTTTAAAAATAGGGAAACCAGGACATGAGTGAAACAGGTAAAATCTCTAGGTTGCAAGTGAGAGAATAATCTTGTATCTCAAACACAAATTAGTCTACTCTTGTGACAAACTTCATGAGTTTTAGACTACAAATCAGCAAAATATAATTCTAAGGCTACTCTCAGTTAAAGTGTGGGGGGCTATTTATAGTCCTGGGGATTGAACCCAGGATCTTGTGTATTCTAGGCAAGTACTCTACCACAGAGCCATATCCCAGCCTAGAACTCTTTTGATAATCACTATTTTCAACCATTTATACGGCATTTTTTTCCCAAACTTTGTTCAGAGCATAATCACATAATCTGAAGAAAAGAAATTTCTGATCATGTAGGTTTGAAAAACACTGCTTATTCTTATACTTGGAGATCCAAAGGCCAATAATAATCTCTGAGAGGTTCTGCAGTAAGGAATACTGTTTTAACTTTTTTTTTTTTTAAATCTTGTATTTTTCCCAATTTACGTAGTCCTGGAAACCTGTTAGGTGCAAATCCAACTCATACCATCAGGGGCTGGTATTTGTTGGAACACATCTTGGGGGAAAAAACAGTTTATGAACTTTTATGCTATGACTCAAAAGGAAAGACTTTCATGAGTGAAAGACACTTAATGCACTTGTGACACTTATGTAAGTACCTTGCTTACGTAGAAATTTTTATTTTTAAATAATGAAAAGGAATATACTAGATTTCCTTCCCTTAAGATGTAGGCATAATCTCAAAAAATGCTGAATTATGATCAAGATGAACATCTTTCCCTAAAAGTTACACTGACAATTTCTGAGAGAAAAAGGCAAAATCTTATAATCCTCTTCTTCATTTAAAGGTCTTTCTTTCTTTTTTAGAAACATAATAGCAAAGGAGAAACAAACCTTGGTCGGCGTTTAAAAAGTTTGTAGAGTAGATCCACCTGATGACTGGGAATTTCAGAAAATTCCTTTTTAAAGCTTCGATCCAGAACCTAAGGATAAACACATCATTGCAAGAACGTAACTTTATTTAGAAAACTTTTTTTGTTGACAATATTCTTTAAAATACAGGTTGTAGCACTTTGATGTTAAAAATCCACAAAAACTTTTTTTTATAAAATTGAAGATGATTCACAGTGCAAGTATTTCCCAAAGATCTTTTTTTGAATAGGAAGCACCTCAGTGTATTAAAAGTGTTATTTCATATGAGAGGTCTTAGAAATCATTCATAAGTTTTCCAAAATAATATTTATTGACAAAACATGCAAGTTTCTCTATTTTTTTCTATTCCATCTCCTTCCATTCCATTCTGCTTTTTTGTGCTATCCTATCCCATTCTTTTGCATTAGAAAGCTGCTGGTCAGACCTACTAAACTGATTTCATAACCAACTAATGGAGACTGCACTCTTAAGTTTGAAAAGCGCTGGAAGTTCAATGATCTCCCTATTTTTGCATAAAAGAAATCTTAGATGAGAGAAGTTTACAAAAATTCTTTTTACAGATTTTCAGAAGTGTTCAATGGCACAAAATGAAGTTCATTCATAAATGGTAATTATAGTTGGAGAGAAATCTATAAGAGTTATATGTCATTCAGCTTTCCTCTAATCCCAAGAGCAACAACTCAACTGCATTATCAGTTGGTGAGACAATGATTCTCACCTTGTCTTCTGCCATTAAGTTGTCATAGTGCTCCTTAAATGCATCCAATTCTTCTCTAGATTTCCGGATGGCTTCTGAAGTCTGGTTCTAGAATAACAGCAGGAGTAGTTAATTGGAACTGGAGACTTCAGTATAAAAATACAGGAGATTCAAAGATGAATCAAGAATTTTCTAGTACACAAAGTAAAGGTGCCGTGTAGTATCTGTTACAGAAAACTTTTATAGAAGGAAGTAAACCATTTGGAGACTTGAACAAACCTCCAGTCACCTGTTCCTAAGGACAGTCAGCACTGTGTAAGTGCATAAGCATCAGTGACAGAGTGTGTGGATGAGGAAAGTGCGCAGGCTTGAGAGTTCCGTGGACCTGGGTTCTGAGACTGAATGTCAATATGGACAATGGCCAGCCATATGTAGAAACAGAACTCTGATCCACTGCAGCAAACACCTGGCAAACTAAACCAAAACCTTTGCAGTGATTGCCCCAAACTGTCAGGACTTGGTCAGTAATTGCCAGCTGTTTAACTTTGGTACCTACTTCCAACTCAGGATCGTCTAGAGAGGGCCAAATATGTTCCCCCAAACCAGGTGGCTTCTAATTGGTTTGCTTGTGCCAACAACATCCAGCCAGGTGTGCTTGTGTCTTCCCTGCTTCCATCCTATGTCTTTCCTGCTCCCCTGCCTGCCTTCCAGACTTGGAAAAGCAATGCCCATGGGAGTGTAGGTGGTCCTTGTGATGGCAACCATTCTGCTATGCCAAGCTCAGAATAAATAGCCTCTGCTTATTCTCATTTGGGTGGCCTTCATCTATTTCCACAGTTCAGTTCCTGCTCTATAACTTACCACTGGATGTCTGAGGCATGTTACCAGCCTCACAGAGACAGTCTTTCTCATTTGTGAAAGAAACCTAGTATCATGCAGGGTTGTTCTGAGGAGGGATATATATAGAAATTTGCTGTTTAATAGACTCTTAGAAAAAAGTACATATTTCATTTATGATACAATAAGTCACACATTCGCAAATTTGCGTTAATACTAACATCTGTCAAAACTTACTGTGTAATAAACATTTTGTATCCTATTTATGGTTGTGTTTAGATGGTTTTCAGAATATGAGCTAACCCAATACTCTTCCATGCTTAGTGAATTTTAAGAGTGCCAAGGCCAGCCTGGGCAACTTAGTAAGGCTGTGACTCAAAATTTTAAAAAAAATTTAATGGTTGGGGATATAATATGGTGGTAGAGCCCTTGCCTAGTATGAAGCCCTGGGTTCAATTCCTAGTACAGCAAATAAATAAATAAACAAAATTGAAAACAAAAAAGAGCATCCAGTGGTCCAGGGAGAACAATGCTTCCTGAAGAATGGCTTGCAAGCAGCTTAAAATGTTCTAGGTCCCATAGTCAATGGCTTAAAGTTGTGCTTTCAACCATGAACCTCATTTTACAAACCACTTCATATGAAGCCTACATGGTTCTTTTGACTAAATGATTCCAGAGGCTAGATCACGTAACTATTAACAAATTTGAATGGGTACTTTTCACCTGGCCCTGGAGCAAAGTCTTAGACAGGGGTCAAGGACTGCTCCAGGTTAAGGAGGTCTGGGAGCTCTTGCTAAACAAGGAGCAGGGCTGTCAGGAAAGCCTGGCACTCGGGGATCAGGCTCTGTACTTACTTTCTCCTGCTGCTTCCTTACAAGGTAGTTGTTCAGGAATATTTCTCTGGAGGTTAATTCCTCTTCCAACAGTAGAGAAAACACAAGGTTATTTATTTTCAATTCCTCCTGTAAAAATATTTTAAAAGGTGTGTTTGTGTGTGGGGGGGTTATGATTGATACTCCTGAGAAAAGACTACTGATGGTCATAGACTTTACTCAAACAAGTTCATGACATATACATAAGAAAACTCTTAAAGAATAGAGACTTAACAGTAACTGGTTATTTTTCTTTCATCATTTCATTATAAGGTAAAACATACAGAAAAATACACAATGTGAACTCATAGTTTAATGAATTATTATAAGGGCCAACATCTATGTCATAAGCACTCAATTCAAGAAATAGAATTTTGCCACCCTAGAAGCTCCTTACCAGGTGTTCCCATCAAAATCTCAACTCCACTACTAACCAGTGCTTTGACTTTCATAGTAACAACCTCTCTGAAGCTTAAGTGTGTTTATCTAGACACTACAGTATAACTTGTCCATTAAAAATTTTTTTTGTCATGTCTTCTAAATCTCTTATAATCTTCATGTCCCCTCTTTCCCTTTCTTTCCTCATAATTCATCTGTAGTAACTGGGAGCTTGTCATTCCACCTCACCTGCGTTTTACCCAGTGCATACTCCTGGTTCTTCAGCCTTTGTATTTCCTGAAAATTGCCAGCTGGATCCAGAGGCCTGATGAGAACCAGCTTTGGTCCTTTTGGAAGACCATAGGTGATACTATGGTCTGTGATTAGGAGACACAGTATCTGGTCATCATTCTATAATGATCACAGCTGTAGTTGCTCAATGCCTAGGTCCATAGATTCAACAAGAGTTGAAAAATGGTAATAGTCTGTTTTTACTTTCCGTTTTCACTTATTAATTGAAATACTTTCATAGAGAGTGCTCCTACTTATGTACTGGTTTGGTTACCTGAGGGCACAGTTCATATACGAAAGGCCAAATAGATACTTTATGCTTTCCTTTATTAGTTTTATATAAGAATTGGTTATCATCCTCTGAAGATAACCAATTGGCACTTTCTGTTTAAAAAAAAATCACAAATTTGTGAATTTAAACAAATTTGATGGGTTTCATTTAATTGCAATTATATCATCTTTGAATCTTAAATGTTCTCATTTAAAGGAGATGTATGTGGGTGGCTCTTGAATCCTTTGGATATTATCTAGTAGTCTGATAGTACCCTTTTTATCTTGTACAACTAGGTGTTCTAACTAGTTGTAACCTAGGTGTAGCTGTTTTTTCAAAATGACAGCTTTACTGAAGTATATAATTCACATACCATACAATTCACCATTTATAGTATACGAGTCAGTGGGTGGTCTTCAGAATATTTAGGGTTGTGTTACCATTGTCACAATCAATTTTAGAACATGTCATCAGTTTAGCTGTCATTTCCCATTTCCCTGCACCTCCCAGAAGCCTCCTTCCTCCCTGCAAGGCAGCTACTTCTCAGGGCACCCAAAGAGGAAGTGTGCCAAGTGAAAGGGAGGACATGCAACAACAGGAGGCTGAAGAGGGACCCAGGGACTCAGGCTTGCAGGACCTTGGTACCAGTAAAGGGTGTTGGTCATTATCCTAACATCAGCCAGGTCCCTGGAGGTTCCTTAAAAGAACAAGTCACAGAAGCAAAGCTTCTGTTTACCTGGTTGACAACCATCTCGGCCTTCACTCTCCTTTCAAAGAGTTTTTTCAAAAGTTCATCAAAGCTCTGTGTGCTTTCTTGAATTGAGTTTTGAAGTTTCTTCAATTCTGTTTCTAATGACTGAAAAGAAGGCCATAGTGAAGTTAGAGTTTAGGAATATCGGGTGCTCCCAGGATGGGATGTTGCATTTTGCCCCTAGGGAGGGGCAGGAGGAAGGCAGAGCTTGTGAGGTGTTCTGAAACCTCAGTCCCTTCAACCAGAGATTCTCCACTTGGATACTGGGTGTCTGGGGTTTTTGCTTTAAAATGATTACTTTGCAGAGGAGGGATAAAAATCACTAATGATAGCTAATGATACAGCCAAAAGTAGGCCTGGTAAAACAAACTGCAGTAAATTTTTTCAGAAAACTCTGACTCCCTTTATAGGATAGTAATTTCCAGATATATAATTTGGCCCTAAAAAAAATTTTCTTGCTTTTATTTTTCCCCCAAGCTTTGAATTCCTTTTCATGAAAATTTTATATATTTTTCCACATTATTTTATTGTGCATTATAGTTGTACATAATGTTGGAATTTGTTGAATATTTGAATATGCACAAAATAGAACAATATAATTTGGTAAATATGCACTCCCCTGCACATTCTCCCTTCCTCTCTACCACCTAACCCCTGGTCCCTTTCCTCTATTGATCTCTTTTTTTTTTTTTTTCATGAGATCCCCATTCTGCCACATTTCGTTTCCTTTTTTTCTCTCTAGCTTCCACGTATGAAAGAAAACATACAACCCTTGAACTTCTGAGTTTGGCTTATTTTACTTAACATAATGGTTTCAAGTGTCATCTGTTTTCCTGCAAATGACATAATTTCATTTTTCTTTTTTTATTCTTAATTACATATCTTTGATAACAAAAAAATATAAGACAGACACCAATGTCAGACTTGACGTTGAACCACCCTATTAAATGTAGGAATAGGAAAACAAAATTTTGACCATCTTAAGAATAAGATCTGCCTTGCTATTTTAATTTCAATGAGTTGGAATCCAGACACCATGTATATTCATTTGCCAATTTGACTCAGCTGTTCTTCTAGAACTACTATTTCTGAGATTCTGACTTAACACAGTATACTACACACTTTTTTTTGGTAGTTTAGAAAGGTGTTAAGTAGATGCATTCATGTCGGTGATTTTAGTCTGTTTTCATTGATTCTACTCTGTCAGCATTATTTTCACAAAGTGTCCTGGGGATCATGGTGATCTCAGTTACTAAGATCCATACAAGCTATCTTACAATTCTCTGAAGAAACCTTCAACTTCAGGTTTTGCTCCCTGCAAATTTTACAAAGCGACACCTGCTAGCTATGAAGATTAGGTATCTCCCAGATAGTCTACACTCTCTTAAAATCTAACTTAATATCATAACCGATGTGATTCTGCAATCTGTATTTGGGGTAAAATTGGGAGTTCAAAACCCACTTGAAACAAATGTATGAAATATGATATGTCAAGAGCTTTGTAATGTTTTGAACAACCAATAAAAAAAATAAATAAATAGAGAATCATGTCATCAACAACAAAAAAAATCATGATCATTACATTAAGGCATAATAAAATAACAAAATATTACAAACCATATCTACTATGATAAATGAAAGAATTTCTATGTTTTTACTACTATTTTTCCTATAGTAGTAAAAGTACTATTAGTATTGACTCAAGGAAGAGAAAAATATAGTGACCCAAAGACCAAGGTAAAAATAATTTTTTCCTTTCAGACCAGGAAAACCTGATAAGGTAAAAACAAATGATTACAAAATAACTGCAATTATAGAGTTAAATTACAACTGTAATTGCTAGTTATTAAAAAAAATGAAGCCCTAGATTTGAGAAGAGTAATCTACTTTCAAAATGTGTGCTAATACTAGACAGAAGGCCAGAAAAATTGAGGAAATATTTAACTGTTTTGTACTCAACTGTTGAGTACAAAACATTCTTGGTAAGTAGAGAGTTAAGGTTTTTCCATATAACTAATATAAAAATTAGACTATTTCCAATCTTACTCCACACTTAATGTACCTTCTATTTGAGTTCTTCACTTCTTCAATGTGGAAAAGAAGGAATTTACTTTGGGACTTCTGAAAGCTTTATTAAAGTCAAATAGCAAAGAAGAGAAGACAAGCATTTTTCCAGTCTACAATCATGAGCAAGAAGTTGAAAAGACCATGTCAGCTGAATCCATCCTGGATGAATTTCTATGACTAGTTATTGTCCAAGGAAAGAGGCCATGGAGTCATCTGGCCTCTGCCGTTTCATTCTGTAGGTCTCCATTTCCTCTTCGGTGGGTTCCCAAGTTTCATATATGCTATTGTAAGGCCGTTTCCCCTCATCAACCTGCATGATCTCCTTGACATGAAGAAGGCGTGCCTCCCCTGCATTCAGTGCCTTTTTCAAGTTTCTTCATCATCACTATCTGAGCTGCTCTTTCGGTGTTTCTTCTTTTTCTTTTTCTCTTCTTTTAGTTTTTCTTGATGCATTTCCATGAGGGTTTGAGTTTTTTTCACAGATTCTTCTCCACTTACATCATTTATAATACATTCATCTGAATTAACAATATCCTTCCCAGCTTCTCCAGTATAATAGGAATACTTGAAAAAAGAGTGACAGCATTTGTATCCCCATCAGCCATCCTTCCAGTAAGATCCCAAGATAGTGTATGGTTGTGAAGTGTATGGTTGTGAATCTTTACATCCTCCTCCTATTTGGAGCAGGCAGCAGCTCGCACTTGTCCTTTGATGTCTGTACCATGTCTTGAGTATTTTACATAGTCTTCAGTCTGGGCTAAAAGTAATTCAGCTGGAGGAGCATCCCAAGTGTTCTTGGCCACCATACTTTTTTTTTTTAAGAGAGAGAGAGAGAGAGAATTTTAATATTTATTTTTTAGTTTTTGGTGGACACAACATCTTTCTTTGTATGTGGTGCTGAGGATCAAACCCGGGCCACAGGCATGCCAGGCGAGCGCACTACCGCTTGAGCCACATTCCCAGCCCCCACCATACTTTTCTAGAATGTTTTCTTTCTGCTGTTCTTTGAAAGTCTTCTTTTTTGACTTTGAAGGACTTATACAATAGCTCTAGTTTTGTAGGATCTGCCTGTAGATGCACTTCAGATCCTTTGTCATAGGCTTCCCAAGCAAACAACTGTGTCTGAGCCATTGAGATGGTATCTCCTGTGTATCTAACGAAGTTATCTCCTGCAAAACTCACTTCATCTGGATTCTTTCCTGCATTAGCATAAGGATTCTCTCATTGCTCTAGTTTTTGGATCATAGTAGGCAGAATTTGGATCTTATCTCAAGTATTTTGCAATATCTTCTCGAATCCTGAGATTTCGGGCAGTAATTCGTCTCTTAGAGTCAAAATTCTGTCCTGACATGTCAATATCATCTGCATACTTGCTTCATCCTCATCTTCACTATTGTGATCTTTCTCCTTTGGGAATTTGGTTCCTCTTCTCCCCACTGTGTTTTGGAGAATTAGCTTGTTCCACTAGTTTTCCTGAGGCTAATTCTTACAGTTTCTGGGCTTTCAAAGTTTGTTTGTCCAGATCAACTTTTGGCATATTCTTCCACAATTTTCATGTGTTCTTCTGGATTATAGCCATTCCACCGATCTCTTTTTTCATCATAGTCAAACATCAGTTGAGGCTGGACATGTTCATCTGGAGCTATATTAGAACCTGTAAAATTGGCTCCAACTCGCCTAGGTTTCTCAAAGCAGTCTTTCTTTTTGTGTATCATGGCCCCACAATTTTCACATGCTCCTTTGCGGTACTTAGTAGTTATGGAATTCTCTTTTACTCCCCTCTTGTGCCATTCCCCAGATGAGCTGAATTACTTTTGTTTCTCTGGTTGTGGTCTCTGATGATTTAAAATAGGTCTTCTTGATGGATCAATGTATCATATGGCACTGAAGAAATATACTGAGGAATATGAGGACTGATGTCTTTTCCCTCTTCATCAACTTCTGCTGGAGCATTACCCAGTTTTCACTTTTCTTCTAGCTCCTCCTTCTTTCTCTAGTCCTCTCGAGTCATCTTCTTTGGTTCCTCCAAATTCATTTCTTTGTATCCCGATAGGGGTGCTGCATTAACCGTGTCCACTGCTGCGGCTGAGATAATGACCTCGCCTGGTCAGGCCGCAGCCTACACCAAAACCATCCGATAGTCCGGCAATGTTTACTTCTGGGCTTTCTGCCTCCTCCCGGGAGGCACTGCGGTAATTTCCGGACAACCAACACATGCGCACTCTCATTTTTCCTTACGGTTGAATAAAAATGCCATTGTGTATATATACCACATTTTATTTACCCACTCATCCATTGATGGATACCTAGACTTGTTTCATAGTTTGGGTATTGTGAATTGTGCTGCTATAAATATGGGTCTGTATATGTCACTATAGTAATTCTTTAGGATAGACACCAAGGAATGGATTTTACAGTGGTTCCATGCCTAGTCTTTTGAGGAACCTCCATACTGATTTCCTTAGTGGTTGTACCAATTTACAATCCCAACAGTGAAAAAGTGTTTCTTTTTCTCCACATCTTCTCCAGGATTTATTTTTGTTTGTATTCCTGATGACTACTATTTTATTTTTTATATTATAATTTTTATATTTAATTTTTTTTATATCACTGAAAAAAATACCAGCGTTAGGGAAGAAGTGGAGGTATGAGATGAACCAAGATAGGTAATGAGTAGAATTATGGATTGAGGTTTTAGGCAAGTGCTATCTTAGGTTAAAATACAAGTCAGAATTGCAGTGAATAAAAATATAACAGGTTAACAAAAGGTTCAAAGAACTTGTTCATAAGATGCAGCTTCAAAAAAAGGTAGAAATCAGTCCTGTCTTGAATGAGGGAAGTATGATTTTACTTCCCTCACAGAAGCATAGATATCATCACTTGGTTATACACCATAGTCTTTTATATCTCTATTAGAATGGTAAGCAGTTTTAATGTGGGAATGTTTCTTTGTGATAGAAGAAGATAAAAAGTAGCAGAACTGCACTGCAGAAACTTGGAATAAGAACTGTAAACTAAGTGCTACACCATTGTCTGTACCATTCTTTTCTCAAATCCTTTCCTTGTGAGAACAAATCAAGCAGAAACATTACTGAACTCAGATGGCTACAGACAGGAGAGAACAATCCCTCACAGTGACTTGCATGTGCCAGAATTGGTGTCTGTTAAACAAGAATGAATGGAACAAACAAATGGTAACAATGTGGGAAATGTTGAAATCAATAAGAACTTTCAAAAACCACTGCTCAAAATTCTTTTTGTTTTAAATTGTTCTCTTTGAAGTTCTCTAAATTTAAAATTTACTTCTCTAAAATCTTCTAAATTCTTGAGAATTTAAGCTGAGATGCCATTCTTAAGCCACTAAAGACACTGAGAAATAAAAAAATTGAAAAAATATTGAAACAAGGCCGCCGAGAAGCCCTTGTTCCCGCTGCCGGGAAGGAGAGTCTGGTGCCGACAAGATGGCGGACGGGGAGCTGAACGTGGACAGCCTCATCACCCGCCTGCTGGAGGTACGAGGATGTCAGGATGTCGTCCAGGAAAGATTGTGCAGATGACTGAAGCAGAAGTCCGGGGCTTGTGTATCAAGTCTCGTGAAATCTTCCTCAGCCAGCCTATTCTTTTGGAATTGGAGGCACCACTGAAAATTTGTGGAGATATTCATGGACAGTATACAGATTTACTGAGATTATTTGAATATGGAGGTTTCCTACCAGAAGCCAACTATCTTTTCTTAGGAGATTATGTGGACAGAGGAAAGCAGTCTTTGGAAACCATTTGTTTGCTATTGGCTTATAAAATCAAATATCCAGAGAACTTCTTTCTCTTAAGAGGAAATCATGAATGTGCTAGCATCAATCGCATTTATGGATTCTATGATGAATGCAAACGAAGGTTTAATATTAAATTGTGGAAGACCTTCACTGATTGTTTTAACTGTCTGCCTATAGCTGCCATTGTGGATGAGAAGATCTTCTGTTGTCATGGAGGACTATCACCAGACTTGCAATCTATGGAGCAGATTCGGAGAATTATGAGACCCACTGATGTCCCTGATACAGGTTTACTCTGTGATTTGCTGTGGTCTGACCCAGATAAGGATGTGCAAGGCTGGGGAGAAACTGATCGTGGTGTTTCCTTTACTTTTGGAGCTGATGTAGTCAGTAAATTTCTGAATCGTCATGATTTAGACTTGATTTGTCGAGCTCATCAGGTGGTGGAAGATGGATATGAATTTTTTGCTAAACGACAATTGGTGACCCTATTTTCAGCCCCAAATTACTGTGGCGAGTTTGACAATGCTGGTGGAATGATGAGTGTGGATGAAACTTTGATGTGTTCATTTCAGATATTGAAACCATCTGAAAAGAAAGCTAAGTACCAGTATGGTGGACTGAACTCTGGACGTCCTGTCACTCCACCTCGAACAGCTAATCCTCCGAAGAAAAGGTGAAGAAAGGAATTCTATAAAGAAACCATCAGATTTGTTAAGGACATACTTCATAATATATAAGTGTGCACTGTAAAACCATCCAGCCATTTGACACCCTTTATGATGTCACACCTTTAACTTAAGGAGCCGGGTAAAGGATCTTAAATTTTTTTCTAATAGAAAGATGTGCTACACTGTATTGTAATAAGTATACTCTGTTATAATATTCAACAAAAGAAGTTAAATCCAAATTCAAAATTATCCATTAAAGTTATCTTCATGTACCACAATTTTTAAAGTTGAAAAGCATCCCAGTTAAACTAGATGTGATAGTTAAATCAGATGAAAGCATGATGATCCATCTGTGTAATGTGGTTTTAGTGTTGCTTGGTTGTTTAATTATTTTGGGCTTGTTTTGTTTGTTTGTTTGTTTTTGCTAGAATAATGGAAACTATTTTTAATTTTTTTCTGAAACATTTTTAAAAGTGAAACATGGGAAGAGCTTTAAAGACATTCACCAACTATTATTTTCCTTTACTTATCTATTTGCTCTTACTAAGAAAACATGCCTCATTACAGTAAAAGGAATTTTAGAGATTGATAGTTTTAAAAATATGCAAACTATTCAATCCAATAATTTTTAATCAAACAGTTTGGGTATACATACAGCTGATAGTGAATATTTTGCTTTTTACAGAAATTGCCACTGATTTGGATTTGTGCACTCTAATTTTTAACTTATTGATGCTCTATTGTGCAGTAGCATTTCATTTAATTTTAAGATAAGGCTCATATAGTATATCACCCAACTAGTTGGTAATGTGATTATGTGGTACCTTGGCTTTAGGTTTTAATTCGCACGAAACACCTTTTGGCATGCCTACTTCCTGATAACACCCTCACCTGCATCAGTTTTGTTTTTGGGGTTTTTGTTGTTGTTTGTTTTTAGATCCACAGAACATGAGAATCCTTTTTTTGACAAGCCTTGGAAAGCTGACACTATTTTCCTCCCTCTGTACGAAGGATGTATTTAAAATGGATGCTGGTCAGTGGGACATATTGTCAACTATGGGTATTGGGTGCTTCACTGTCTAATATTGCCATGTGAATGTTGTATACGATTGTAAGGCTGTGTCACTAAAGATTTAATTCTGGTTTTTCATAATCAAAGGTCATATGATATTGTATAGATATGCTTTTTAGTGAACTATAGTAGCAATAATTTCTGTACATGATCAAGAGTTTATTGCAGCATTTCTTTTCTTGTTTTTGTTTTGTTTTGTTTTGTTTTAAGGGTTAGAATTAACAATGGCAAGGAGTAGAAAAGTCAACATAAAGATTTTAGAAGGAGAACTTATAGGACAGGTTTGTGATTCATTGGATGTGATTCTAAAATCTTTTATTGAGCATTGTCAAATTTGTAAGCTTCACAGGGATGGACATCATATTTATAATACCCTTCTATATGTGCTACCATAGACGTGAAATTCTTGACCTTAATATTGTCTTTGAAAATGTTAAATTGAGAATTCTGTTAACTTACATTTTATGGATTGGCGCATTGTATTACTGCAAGAAATATTTGATTTTCAGCACAGTGCAAAAGTTCTTTAAAATGCATATGTCTTTTTTTCCTAATTCCATTTTGTTTTAAAGTACATTTTAAACGTAGTTTTCTCATTTAGTAAAAGTTGTCTAATTGATATGAAAAAAAGAAAAGAAAAAATATTGAAACAAAACCCTGGATATGGTAGATTATGTTGATTTTTGGATCTTCTGACCTTTCTATACTTATCTCTTTCTTCATTTAACTCCTTGACTTTTTTCTCATATTCTTTGAATTGTTTCCTTTCCTCTTCTGTCCACAGTGCATCGGGCTTTATCATGAAAGCAGGCTGAGGAATCACCTGACAATAGAAAGAAACACACATGCTCGCTCAAATGGAAATGCATCAGTACTGTAAAAGCTCAGAGGTATGGTTACAGTTTGAAGAAATAAAAAAGCAAAGGCCCTTTAATAGGGTTGGCAAGGGCCAGGTCCCGCAGTACACACCTATAATCCCAGAGATTCAGAAGCCTGAGGCAGATAGATTGCAAGTTCAAGGCCAATCTGGGCAATTTTGGACCTTGTCTCAAATTGAAACATGAAAAGGGCTATGGATGTAGCTCAGTGGTAAAACACTCATGAGTTCAGTCCCCAGTACCACCAAACAAAACAAGACAAACAAAAAGTCGATAAGGACAATAGCCTAACACACTTTTACTAAAGAGTATGAACATCATGACTATTGTTCTGTGACTCTGGAGAGTGAGAGCAGTTTAGGATATACCTGGACCCTTAGGTGACAGAGGTGTGTGCAGAACTACACCTGTACTGCAGGTGTTAGAGTTGAAGTGGTATCCCTGCCTTTGGTAGAGAACAAAACCACTGTGGTTTGTTGGTGCTCATTTGCTTCTTGTGAGAATGGAAGCCAATTTTTTTTCTTATTTGCCTACTGTGTATGTTTATAGGGTACTATAAGGTTGTCTAATATTTTTTTGCCATAGAATTTGTACAAAATGGTGAAATGTAAGTGTATTTCAACTCTGCTATACCTTTCACAAGGAGGGCCAGATATCTCACCATTTTCAAAATGTCTTCCTTCTTGACTTCCAGAACACCTCCCATCATGTCCATCAGGGCTCTGTTTCTAACGTCCAAACCCTGAGAAAGAGCCAGGGTCAGAGAGGGCAGCTGAGACAGTGCTCTGACCCCAGGGGCACCTCCCACCTGGTGTTAGGATGACCACTTTAGGATAGGGAATGGTGGCAGTGGTATGGAAGAGAGAACGGAGGAAGCCAGATGAGGTTCAAGTGGCCTCTGGACCAAGACAATTATCTTTATGTGCTTCTATACTGGGATACAAGTATCTCTAAAGGAAAGAGGGTCTTGGGTATTATTTGGACAGAGCTGCATACCTGTGAATGAAGCCATCGCTCTGTTTCATGGGGTGAAATCAATTCTGTTTTGGCTTTTTGCCATGGAGAAACATGTTTTTGAGCTGTAATCTAAAAGAGAAAATACAGCTTTCTGCTGGTATTCTTACAAAATCCAAACCAAACTTTCCTTCTATACACTGGGAGGAAATTAAATAGTACTGTGAGAATTAAATTAGTACAATCCATATTTTGCATTCAGTTTCTGTTTTGGAATGAAGATAAAGTCTAAAATGAGAGGGCTAGAAGAATAGATCTTTACTTTTCTCTTAGTTTTCAGCTCTGTCTCATCACTGAAGAGATTTGATTTAGATGAAGGGTGAGGGGAAGGGAGGTCAAAGAAGTGTCACCTAAGTCAAATCCTGAAAGGTGTCCTAAGAGATCAAGAGCTTGGGGCATTCTAAGAACTGTGGGCAGTAAAGCATGGGCAGAAGGGAGGGAGAGCAGCTGGACAAGACGAGGGCAGGGAGATGGTCAGGAAGGTGGGTTGTATCCCAAGTGCCCTGGGCAGCCATTGCAGGGGGTCAGGCACAGCAGGAAGTCACATCTGACTTGCAAAGAGATCTCTCTCCTGAACATAGACTGATGGGAGCTCAAGAAAAAGCAGGCATGGGGGTTTACTGCACGTGCAAAGGGATTGCCTTGAGCTGGGCCCTGAGCAGTGGCAGAATGAGGTCTTGGTTTTCACCTTGCTCCAGCTCCCAGGTCACATAGCAAAGAGACCAGGGAAAAATGACTTGTAGAAGTTAAACAAGTGCAAAGGTTAGGACAATGTCCTCAGAAGCAAATGGTTTGGGTCCAGTCTGTTACTAATTAGCCAAGAAACTGTGGCTAAGCTACTTAATTTCTCTGTCCCTCACTTTCCTTATCTGTGAAATAGAGGCAATGTTAGGGCTTACCTTCTATGGATGTAGAATTATATATTCATTCTCATCTATCTAGGACACTTAGAATGGGGCCTAGCAGCTAATAGGGACGGTGAAAATATTTCTTCTAAACACCAGTATTATCTTTTGCCCCAAAGTAGTCAAATTGGTTTCATATGAACAATAGTTTTTCTTTGAGTATTCTCCAGCATTTTTTTCTTTCAAAAAAATGAAATATGGTCATATTTTGTTTTCTTTAGGCATTCTTTTCGCAACTGCCTATGCTTTGAAGAAGGCTGTCCACAAGTCCCTTTCCTTGGTATCTGTACTGCCCACCAAAGATCTAGATAATGACTCCATTGGTCTTTTTCCCACAGAGTGGTTCAACCCCTCTGGTTCAAGCACTGGGCCAACACTGGGCCAAGGAGCCCCTTCCCAGGCAAGCCTAGAACTGGGACCAAGATAATCTAATTCAGACCAGCTGCTCTCTTGGTAGAGGAGATACAAAGTAGAAATTCCTAGAAGAATCTTATATGCTCAGATAAGTAAGCTAGGAGATAAAGAAAGAGGGCCCTGGACTCCCCATAAAGCTCTAGTCTTTGCTGCCGGTTTCTTCCTAGGTGCAGTGTCCAAATCTTCCCTGGACTCCCTGGGGTCCATAAAAGAAATTCTCAATACTGCAGCTCTATCCTCTGTTTTTATTATCTATAAATGAGCATGCTAGCTAATACAGTTGTTTGCAATAATATAAAGAAGAAGGTGAACAAATAGGATCTGGGAGAAATCTGAGAAAGAGGGAAGAGATGATGGGGCCAGCCATACCTCATGATCCTCTACAACAAAGGTTCTCTCTGGTTTCTCACAGTCTTCAAATTCTGGTTGCCAGACTGTTTCCTCCAACTCCAGATCTGAAATAATTTCTCTAATTCTAACATTTCTTTCCGTCACACGTGTGATTTCAAACTCTTTTTGTTTATATGCAGCATCAAACTCATTATTGAAAGCAGTTTTTACCTTGTAAATGATATCCTGAAATATCAATATGTTACTGAAAAACACACCACATCTCATATCTTTACTAGTAACATGATCCCAAGTTACACTTTCCCTCCAAGGTCAGTCCTGAAATTATCTTTTAAGAAGGTAAAATGAATCTTCCTGGAATGCCATTTGTATCAAGCCATTTCTTGATTCGATAATTGACAGTGGCATCCAACCATAGGTAGGATTAAGGCAACCATATTCCATAATCTACTTTCTGAAATGTAAGCTGTCATTCAATGTGCAAGTATGATGATAAATGTTCAGGTGGGTGATGTGCACACAGAGGCTCATTGAGCAATTCTCTCTACTTTTGTGCATGAATTTAAAAAAAAAAAAATCTCTTTTTTAGAATCTTGTGGCAGATGTAGAGAGGAAGAAATGGCCAATACAGAGTGTTTAGAGAAGCTTCCAGAGAAGTCCACCAGGCACAATATTCTTTCTGTAGCTATAGGGTCAGGTCATTCTCAGGCAAGAGAGAACCTGAGCTCACCAGAAGGATCAGTCAATAGCCAGAGAGAAAGTGAGTCCAGATGGGTTGCTACCACTCCTAATGGCTCAACTCAAAGTGGCCTTTATGTTACTGTCAGAGTTCAGCCTATACTTCTATGTTATTGGGGAAGAAGCCATTAAATTGGAAAAAAATGATCTTAACACTTAGCCCCAGAGTTTCTCTTGGGCTGAAATTACCTCTTTGTAGGAATAAAGTAGCAAGAAGGTGATGCCTGGGGCATGAGTCTGCAGAAGCTGGGCCACAAAAGGTAACTGAACCGTTCTTAGAATAAATTGAGGGCTTATTCTCTGAGGAATAAAGGGTTAGAATAGAAGAAGGAAAGGAAAGGAAGTGAGAGCTGAGTAACATGACAGGAAGCTAGAACTTGAATTGCAGACATGGCTGAAGGACTTTTAAGAAAAGGAATAGCTAACATTAAATTTCAAACTATCTACAGTCTCAGGCATTGCATTTTCAAAAATTATGCCTATGCCTACAGCCTCAAAATTATCTAATTCCCATGACCGGGAACCTCTAGAGCACCTTAGGGTCTTCTCCATAGACAGATGTGTTATGAGATTGACTTGTTTAGTGGAGAAGTAAAGAGGAAGGGACTTATTCTAGAACCCAGAATGTACCAAAATTCTTAGAGAACAAATTATATTTCCTCAGTTAAGCAGATAAATAAGCAGTTGTGTCTCAACCTTAAAAGGAGATCCTAAATGAAACTTGAGTTACTGAGAAGATGGAATCCAAGAGTTTCTTTGAACTGACTAAAGATCTAAACAGAAGAATGGTTTGTGGTATCAGCCAGTGTAAAGTATTCTTTAGAAAATGTGAGATCACAGAACCCAGTTTGAAGGGATGGAGACAACTCTTGTACATAAGCTCTGTCTGTGGACATGGATGGTAGCCATCTGTGTGTTTCTTTATGCACTTTGATGAAATCATTTGATTGGAATTAGGTTTCAATGTGAGCACTTTAAAGACATCTCATAAGAGTTTCAGAGATTTTTAAGAATAAAGAGAAAAGCCACCCACTTTTAGTAAGGTAATTTGGTTGATCTTCTCCTCTCTGGAGTGAAGTTCCAATTGGCTTGATAACAAAGAGGTATCTACCCCAAAATCAGTACTCAGACTACCAAGCAGGTAATTGGGCAAGTTGGAGTCTCTGATTATCTTATCTTCATCTTCTTCTTCTTCATCATCTTCTTCATGACGCTTTTTAACCAAGGAGACTGCAGATTGAACCTCTGAAATTTCCTTCCGTAACTGAATAGAGAAAAAGATTACATGGAAGTCATGCAATAAGAAAAATTCTCTAAAGGACAATTTTGCAACAATTTAATTATTTTAACAACCATCTTAAGAGGTTAAATCATCTTGCCAACAATTTAATTCAAGGTGATAGGATCCTGAAACCACCACAGAAGAAATTAAAGCTCCAGAAACTGACAAACTGTAAACCAAAGAACAAAAATGACCCTGAACACTACATAATATTGATATTTGTGTGTCAGGATGATACCCACTTGTAAATACTTCAAGTTTTTCTTGGTATGTAAGCATTAAAAAGTAAACAAACTTGTTCACATGGGACTAGAGGGTGTAGGTTAAGATTTACATAAGCCTTCATTTTATGTTTTGGAGAAAGAGTAGATGCAAAGTTCTGGCCAAAACAAAGCTATAACAAAGGACCATTTTCTTTCTTTCTTTCTTTTTTTTTTAAACTGATTTCACAGAAATTATTTCTTAAAAAAAAAAGTGGGGCTGTTTTAGGGAAACTGCATTTACATCAAAATAGATTCTAGTTCATCTTTGTTGGTTAATTTAAAACACAACCCCAAATGGTAAGGTAGAGTGAGAAGGGAGTATAGACCTCTGAGCAAAATAAGAACAAAACACCAATTGTTGTTTTTAAAAGCATATCCTTGGTATCTGATGGCTAGCCAGTGTTGGATTTACTATATGGATATAGGTCCTGTGTTTATTAGAATATATCCTGTAAACTGGGCGAGGTGGCGCATACCTGTAATCCCAGGGGCTCGGGAGGCTGAGGCAGGAGGATCATGAGTTCAAATCCAGCCTCAGCAATTTAATGAGGTCCCAAGCAATTTACTGAAACCGTGTCTCAAAATAAAAAGTAAAAAGAGCTGGGGATGTGGCTCAGTGGTAAAACACCTCTAGGTCTAACCTTTAGTATCCAAAAAGAAAGAAAGAAAAGAATAAAAGAATGTATCCTGCAAATTAGAAATAAAAATATAAATGGAACAAAATACATATATAAAAATGCACACAATATATTAACTTATTATCCTAAATTGTATCCTAACTCAAGTCTGTATGAAGGAAACCCTAAAATAAATCACATCACTTATATAAAAATTGTACTTTAAGACACTCTGCTTCAATCTTCTTTTGCTGCAAGACTGTCTTCAATTCCTTCAGCTCTTCACTTGAGCGCTCTTTCATCGGGAAGTTCTCGACCACATAAGGGATGTGAAAGCACTTGGGAAACAAGCAAGAGGAAGTAAATTCATTTTTTAAAATAGTTGTAGATGGACAGCATGCCTTTATTTTATTTGTTTATTTTTATGTGGTGCTAGGATCGAACCCAGTGCCTTACATGTGTGAGAGGCAAGTGCTCTGCCACTGAGCTACAGCCCCAGCCCCAATAAATTCATTTTGAGTATAATTGTGGGTATGTGGGGATGAGGTGTGGGGTGTTTTCTCTGACTAAAATTAACTCATGGGATATTATGCCATGAGTAAAATTGGCACTGGAAATTTTAAAAATAAAATGAGGCATGCCATTAGTATTGGTTAGACTTTGTACATAACACTTTGAAGGATTTCTTTCTAGAGCAATGGTTCTCAGCTAGAAAACTATTCTGCCTCCCTTCCTCTCACCCACACGTGGCAATGTCTGGAGACATTTTTAAATTTTTATTACTGGAGGTGTGGGGTGCTCTTATCTAGTAGTCAGAGACCGGGAATGTTGCTGAACATCTCTAATACATAGGATGGTCCTATGACAAGTGATGGTCCAGCCCCAAATATGCCACTTTTGGGAAACCTTGTTCTAGAGAGAAACTCAATCGTGTCAAGGTAGGGTCAATACATGCTTCATTATCCAAATATGTGTGGGTTTTTGTGTGTGTGACATTTGAAAGTGAAGAAGGTGCTGTAAATAGTTACTGTAGGTCCACAGACATAAACTCAAGACTTTTGGTCACACTGTATAAAGAGGTAAATTAAAATAGCTTCTTAAGAGCACACTCATACATTGCTGGTGGGACTGCAAATTGGTGCAGCCAATCTGGAAAATAGTAGATTTTGGAATGGAACCACCATTTGATCCAGCTATCCGACTCTTTGTTTTATACCCACAGGACTTAAAAACAGCATACTACAGGGACACAGCTATATCAATGTTTGTAGCAGCACAATTCACAATAGCTAAATTATGGAACTGACCTAGATGCCCTTCAGTAGACAATGGACAGGGAAACTTTGGTATACATGCACAATGGAACATTACTCAGCATTAAAAGAGAGAAAATCATGGCATTTGCAGGTAAATGGATGAAGTTGGAGAATATAATGCTAAGTGAAGCAAGCCAATCCCCCAAAACCAAAAGCTGAATGTTTTCTTTGATATGAGGATGCAGATGCATAATGGCGATTAGGGAGGAGCATGGGAAGAATGGAGGATCTTTAGATAGGGCAAAGGGGAGGGAGGGGAAAGGAAGGGGCAAGAGGGTAGGAATGATGGGGAATGAGTTAGCATCATTACCCTAAGTATAAGACGTGAATGGTGTGAAAATACTTTGTATACAACCAGTGTCTTGAAAAATTTTGTTCTATGTGTGTGATATGAAATGAATTGTATTCTGCCATCATGTATAACAAATCAGAATAAAAAAATTTAAAAAAATAGCTCCTTAGAAAATGCAAAGGCAGGCAGAGGTATAGATGTGAACAATACGTTGTATCCCACCTTTTGAGCTGTGTGGACCGTGAATGAGGTGGGCTTTTGGAGTAGACAAATACTAAGACCTGGAGACAGGGAGTGTTGCAGCGGAAAGAAAGATGGGGTGCTAAAGCCAATCTTAAGAGATGCTGGTTTGGAAGCACATGGGGACTGAGCAGAGGGAAGAAAGCATTAAGAGAAAGCAATACCTCTAGGTGGAAGTCAGTGTAGGAAGAGGCAGGGCATGCTTCAAATGCTTTGCTACATGTGGATTTTCTTTTTAAAAACTGTTGTTAAATGTTATGCCATGAGACTTTGGTTGAAAATTCTCAGCAGCCAAGGTTTTTGGGGTTGTGTCCTTTACCTTAAGTGCTCGGCCCTTCACAGCCATGGCATTCCAGCATTCTTCTTTGATAACCTCAGTCAGGTAGCCCTTGGCTAGATTGTGCATCTCTACATCCTTTCTTATCTTGAAGCACATGGATGAAGGGAAAAGTTAAAAATGAAAGTGTGGCCTCTTAGAACAAAATCATCTTATCGTAAATGCACTACCAAGGTAAGTCATGGCTATGTTTGAGGTGGGACAGTTTGATTATCTTTCCCCAACACTTTTTGAGCTACATTGCCTAGAGATGAACGTCTGGAGTGCAAGCCGTGCCCCTGAAAACAGTTCCTGAAGGGTACATCTGTAGGCTGTATTCCCTTCCCTGAAGACTGGGGTGGCAACACAAATGCCTCCAAGGGCAGCCATGTCATACCCATGAGCACAGGGGGTTCTGAGGACAGATCCCTCACCCAGGGGAGCTGGACTACTGATGCTCACAGACCTGGCTGGTTGGAATAGCCAGGAAGCGACACTACTGTGCCAAGTCTACCTTTTCTCAGAGGAGTTTGAAATTCATATTATGAATTAAGCTGGCTTTTAGATCTCTGGATATATTTTTAAATTTTTATTACTGGAGGTATGGGATGCTCCTGTCTTGTAGACAGAGCCTGGAGATGTTACTAAACATCTCCAATACATAGGATAGCCCCACCACAAATATCTCTGAATTACCAGAGATCTAAAAGCCAGCTTAATTCTTTCTAACACATATTTGAAGTGCCAGTGACCTCTGGGAGTCTTTATTGTATATAATTCCCATACTACTGATGTCCACAATAAAAAAATCTACCACTTACTCTTAGAGATCAGATAACTTACATTTATCCATTTAGAATCAAATGTCCTACTTTAATTAGTTTTATCTGCTGATATCACTTAACAGGTAAGTAATTAGATATCCCTATTTTAATGGAGTTTGCGAAAAGACCTGGTATGACCATGAAACCCATAGCCCTTAGTTCTAAAGATCTTCTCCAGACCTTTTGTTTGCATCTCACTTGGTTGGCAAGTTGATTAATAAACTAGCTAAGAACAGTATTTCTAAGACTTAAAAATGTCCTTTTAGCTAGGTGCAGTAGCATATGCCTATAATCCCAGTGACTTGGGATGCTGAGGCAGGAAGATCACAAGTTCAAGTCCAGCCTGGGCAACTTAGCAAGGCCCTGTCTCAAAATAAAAAATGAAAAGGGATGGAGATATAGCTCAGAGGTAGAGCATCCTTGAGTTCAATTCCCAGTGCCCTCCTCCAAAATATCTTTCTGTTATTTCTTTTATTTTTTATTATGTACTTTTAAAAAAAAAATAGTTGTAGCTGGATACAATATCTTTATTTTGTTTATTTATTTTTATGTGGTGCTGAGGATCAAACCCAGGGCCTTGCACCTGCTAGGTGAGCACTCTACTGCTGAGCCACAACCCCAGCCCCTATTATGTACTTTTTAATTGTATTAATTTGCATTTCATTTCTTTTTTATTCTGATCCCCTGACTTAATGATTTATATAGCCATTTTGGCATATCCGTTGTCGGAAGCTGTGCGACCCCTGCCCCTCAGCCTTCCTCTCCCCACTGCTGGGCTATCTAGTTAACTATTCCACTCCCTGGGGCCATGTTCAGATAATCATTGTTGGGCTTTGGTCTCCTCCCTGTTGTTGAGATCCAGGATGGGGCTGACTAGTAGCCTCCTCTGTTTAGGACTGGGATCCCTCAGTGGTAGGTGTCACTAACTCTCCACAACATGTGGAAAGCTAGCTGGGTTTAGGGTACCATTTGCTAGCATTCTTCTGGATCCCTATCACATCCAATTCAGGGCTGGTATCTCTTCAAAAGCAAAGAGCTCAGGTAGGCTAACATGGGTGCTTAGATGAACTCTTTCCCTACCTTGGCCACCTCCTCTTCACTTTCTTCATGGAGCCTTTCCAGTTCCTCAAGATCCAGGCCGAACTCCTGTTGCTCTAATTTTGCAATATTATCCAGTTTCTCATTTTCTTCCATCATATTCAGAACCTAAATTTTCAAGTAAGAAAGGATGATGACAAGAATTGTAGATGGCAACCAATAAAAAAATAGATGTTCTGTTTATCTAAATATACTACTGAGTAAAGAGTCACTTTATAGACTTATTGTGGTTATTAAAGTGTTAAGGTTTTATCCTTAGAAATTCATTTATCTAATAACTAAAACACCCAAAATAAACAAGCTCATCACAAGCTAGTTTTAAAATTCAAGTGGAAAATAAATATGCATAAAAATCCATTTAAAAATAGAGCAAAAAGATAATTACTCTCAAGATATAAAATTATATTATAAAATTAGAATAATTAAAATGTTTTAGTATTGGCTCAGGAAAAGATCAATCAATCTCAGAATCCAGAATCCAGAAACAAGCTGGGTATAGTGGTGTATACCAGTGATCCCAGCAACTTGAAAGGCTGAGGTAGGAGGATTGAAAGTTCAAGGCCAGCCTGCGCAACCTTAGCAAGACCCTGTCTCAAAATAAAAAAATAAAAAGAGATGGGGATGTATCTCAGTGGTAGAGCGCCCCTGGGTTTAATCCCCAGAATCACAAAGAAAAAAAAATGAAAAAGAGAATCCAGAGATACTCCTGTACACTTGGGAATCCAGTGATTTAGAAAGAATTCACTGCAAATCAGTGGCAAAAGAATGGCACATTCAGTTAAAAAACTTTGGGGAGATGGGTTATTTACTTGAAAAAAAAATCAAGTTAGAACCAGACCTCATATACTATCTCGTAATAAATCATACGAGTAAGTAAAGGAGCATCAGAAGGAAATAAGTGAGACTTTGGAAGTCTTTTTTGTCTTTTAATAGGGTCTTACTTATGCTTCCCAGGTTGATCTCCAGCTTCTGGGCTCAAACCATCTTCCTGCATCAGCCTCCTGAGTAGGTAGGAATTCTGGCACACATTACCACACCCAGGCTTGGGAAGGCTTTTTTAAGTCAGACACAAAAAATATAAAGCTAAATAGAAAATGATCCATACACCCAGACCATGCCATAATTTTTAACCTTTGTATTAATAAAAGGCACATTATGAAAGGTTAAGAGACAAGACAGTAAACATTTTTGTAGATTGAACCACATATTTTCACAGAAAATATTTGTAGGTTGAACTATATAAAATAGTAGTTTTAAGCAGTTCAGCCTAATAATGACTACCTCTAGATTTTCCCCATGTACACCTCCATGCTCTTTTTTCCTTTTTGCCTGATCAGGTTAAGATAAAGCAAGACAGCCTTAGAAATTACATGCTAAAAACGGCAGGGTCTCCAGCAGCCTGGGTCTCTGAATGACTACATGGAACAGAGCAGCTGCCAACCTGAAGGGTCACCCAAGACTGTTACATGAGGATGAAATAAACTTCTCATTCTTCTATGCCATTATACTTTTTGTGTTTATTTGTTACCACAGGGTAGGTAATCCTAATGATCATTTATATATATATATATATATATATATATATATAAATATATATATA